ACCTGTCCAGGGTGTACCCCGCCTTTTGTCCAATGTCAGCTGGGATTGGCTCCAGCCCCCCCTGTACGCGGGATAAGCGGTTGACGATGGATGGATGGATTTTTGTTTTAAAAAGAAAACAGTTACATTTTTACAGAGAGGTCCTGTGGATTTATTGATGTGGCTACGGACGAGGGTAATAGTAAGAGCGTCAAGCTCAGGCTTCATTTATTGGAAACGCACACACACAATTCCCCATAATGTGGAGAGAGAGAGAGAGAGAGAGAGAGAGAGAGAGAGAGAGAGAGAGAGAGAGAGAGAGAGAGAGAGAGAGAGAGAGATGTGTTAAATCATGTAGCTGGAGCACATCTGCCCACACTATCACCTGCATACATGCTGCTTTTGGCATCAAGTCTAATGCGTGTGTGTGTGTGTGTGTGTGTGTGTGCGCAGCCTTCCTATCTGGCCTGAGTTTCTTTATGTTGGTGCCAGAAAACAGACCAGTGGATGACTCCACTCCAGCTGGGTGTGTTTGTGGTGGTGAGGCAGGAGGTGTGTTTGCAACAATCAAGCAGCATGGAGCAATTTTTCTGTCAAAAATGACATGGATTTGCACTCGCCTTGCACAGCACTGCCTGCTACCATGTAAACAACACTAAAAGCGTATAGTTCTGCCATACTTAGATCTTTACTACTAATTGCCTACAAAGGTTTTTTTTGTTGTTGTTGTTTTGTATTTTATGTACATCTGTATGAAGTTTACGTCTGTTTTGTTGAGCTTGACCTGTTTAATTATGCTTATTTTGTCTATGTTTATTGAGAGCAATGTAAAACTGGAGTCACTTTCCTTCTATGTGTACACATATCTGGCCAATAAAAGAAATTCTGATTGGCTAAAAGTGTCAAATTTGTGCTGAAGGGGGCAACAGAGGAAAGGTTTTACCATGGTGATCATTTTAGAAGATCTCACTGCCACAACTAAACTTTCATTAGTCTCAAGGCGCCTTTGTACTGGGCTGTCTCCCAGATGAAAACTGACAGCTGTGAAAGGAAACAGGTTCATCAGTCAAAGATGGTGGTCCAAGGTCTTTGTGAGACAAGAACTATTCGTCTTGCTCATAGTTCAGTGATAAACTCTGCAATACATCTGACTTCACTAGCATTCAGAGTCAGAGCTGAGAGGGACCGCTAATAACATTTCTCACTCAACCGACAAACCGCACAGCTAACAATACAGAGTTAAGGTCAGCAGAGTGCATTTGATATACGTCTTTACATAAAATAAAATAACACTATTATAATAAAAAAAGAACATGATGTCATCATAAATTCCCCAGTTATTTATTTACCTCAGCAGCGGTACAGTACACTCCAGTTAATACAGCTCAAGGAACCACAATAAATCATTTTTCAGCCTGACTGGTTAAATTGTTCTGTGCAGTAAAATAGCTGCCAGTCATGCATGAAGTTATTATGACTTCATTCATCACACAGAAAGCATAAAGAAATCACAGTCAACAGAGTCATTTTCCTGACAGACTGAATGAAAAGCTGAGTATCAAGTTAACTAACAGAGCAATCAGTCCTGTTTAATACGTCTACATCAGCGTACAACTACACAGGAAGCATCTTTAGTCCTGTTTTTTGAAAGAACTGCAGAGCACTCATGCTGTTTGCTTCACATACTTCATCCCAATCACACTGGGAGCTTCCCAGCAGTCCACTGTCAGCCAAAGACAAACTCCACGAGGTAGAAGTGGAAGTTAACACATTTGTTTTGTACAGAACAGGTGACTTCTCACCACTGTCATCCCAGTATATCTGGGAGATTAATATTTATATAAGCTGCCTCTCTAAATGTTTGAAACAGGTCTGTAATTTAAAGGATGATACTAGTGTTTTTCACATTATAGCTCATGTTAGAGGTGAGAGATGAAAATGCACATCTAGAGGCCGTTCACGTACACTGGGCATGCGCGTGCCGGTGTAAACATGAAGCAGATGCTGTCTGTAGTTACAGAAGATTTGGAGAAAGTACAAGAGACGAAGAACCGCAGCAGATTTTTTTTTTTTGCATGGACCAATAACAAGCTGGGATTGTTAGTGAAAGTAACATGGCAGTTAAAAGCGGTTGTGGCGGCGGAAAACAGACTGGGAGTCGCCGCAAAGTAAATACGGCGATATGCACAGTACAAGTGTAGGCTGTAAGAGTTATTTGCACGGTACAAAATATTTTAATAAAAATACTAAATCAAAAAGTCTGTCAGTAGAATCGTGTTTCTGCTTTGCATGACTTATAAGATGTCTTATCACTTATCCTCCGTTTTTGCCTGTCCACATTAAAACGTTTTTAAAATCGGGTTTGGGAGCGATTCAAACTTACTTTTGGGTCTTTGTTATCTCCATTTTAGTCTGGACAGGAGGTGGAAACGTAGCAAAAGGTCTCCGTTTTAAAACAAAAAAGCTTTAGTGTGGATAGGGCCTAATTGTTCATGTGCCTAAAATGTGATCTGACATCACACTCTTGTACAAAGGCAAGATTGTTTGCAGACAGTTTCACCTACTCTTTGATTATATAAAGAAGAAATGGGAACAAAAGCAAATGTTGAGGACAGTTCTGTTAGCTTGAAGGAGCCCATTGCTTGGGAATGCCTCCAGCCAGGGAACCAATCATCACAACAGTCAGGCTCCAATTGATGCATGTTGAATGTATGCTTTGCAGTACATTCCCCTGTGCTGCTGTGCCAAGATAAATCTTCCCTACGTGTGGAAACAAAGGGAGCACCAGGACACACACAATTGTTTACAAGTGTCATTTGCGAGCGTTTTCACCAACAATTTTACAATAATAACCTGGTGTGTTCACAGAAACACGGTTTAGTGACATTTTGAAGTTTCCTGCTTGTTTGTTTACTCTGTAAACACAGAGCAGTTGCTCTTCTGTTGCGTTTCTGTCGAAGTAGCTGCTCAAGGTGAGTTTGCTTCCCACAGGTGTCATAAGGAATATATTAATATAATATAATAATAATCCTATAATAATATTTCAACATCGCATAAATGGTAATACAGTTTATTTTTTATTGCAATTTAAAAACAGAGGTGGCCTGTATTAAAGCTTAAAAACTATGTGCTATAAAAGAATAGCACAATAAAAACAGAATATTTTTTATAAATGAGGTACAGCAAATCCAATAAAAACACCATTCATGCATAATGTACATGATATCTCTATGAAGCCATACTCATGTTTATTGATGAGTGAGATTAAAGCTGCACCGTGCTGCCCTTTCACAATAAAAGAGTCCTGAAGACCCTGGGGATGACAGACAAAGCGACATTCGTTGAAGAATCTGGAGTACACCAGCCGCTCTGGGTCACAGTTTACATCAACTAGTCATGTGTAAGTGTTGTCAGGGAGGCTGGCTCAAATCTACTGTGCTCTGTCGTGTGTGTGTGTGCGTGTAAGGGCCATGTGTGCTAAAGTGTGTTTGCAAGAGCTTATGCTGTGCATATGTAATGTGTGAATGTGTTGCATGTTGTGATGAGTTTGTCGCATGCTAACTTTGTGTGTAAGAATTGAGTTTGATGATGCATAAGTGTGTGCATAGCTGTTATGTGTAAGCGTGAAAGTGTGTGTGTTGGCAGGGCACTAATTCAAAGTGAAAAGAACTGTGCAGAGTGGTCTTGGTATGCCAGAGTTGTGTGTGACTATGAGTTTGAAGAAATTGCTCTGAGGATGGAGTCAGCAGAGCATTCAGGACAAACACCTCAGTGGCGCTCCAGAACATTTATGTCATGGACTCAGATTCCCATCATGCCGCAGACTGTTTTTATCGTTTCTGACTGAGGCCTGGAGGGACCATTGGTGTAATTATCCGTAGTTTTTGATATCTTGTGATCTGTCTTGTCGTGATTGTAATGCTACCAGCTGTGTGGCTGCATACATTTCACATAAGCAGGATGACATGATACAGTGTGCTCTTTTCACTACCACTACTGTTTAAATATCACAAAGACATCTATCTGTTTGTTGTAACTTTGTTGTAACTTTGTTGGTTCAATTCTTCACAAGGAAACGTCCACCACAGTGATATAGGAAAATGCTAATGTTGCTATTATAGTGTGCTAAAATGTATGTCAGCACTGAGCTCCGACTAATGAGACATTGTAAATCCGAGCCAAATCAGCTGACGCTTGTCACAACTTCTAGTGTTTTGATGTATCGACAACAGCTAAAATCCCAACAGTGTATTGTCACACAGTAACTTTCACACCTTTCACACCCACAGCACAACAATACACAGCCAGCTCAGCAAATAATCTCAGTCTTTATATTCATGCATCCAACATGATGGTGCAGGACATCTATCGCGTACATTACTCTGTAATAGATTATTTAACAGCTTGTGAGTTGAGTTGACCTCATTAAACTGCCTATTAGGAGCACCACTCTTGGTTGTTTTCAAATGAGCAGCGCCACTGTGCTTAATTAATCATGATACTGTGCAACACATGCACACACAAAAAAGCACCTCAAAGTGCCCGAAACCAATCAAAGCCTTTCAGTCCTGGGTGTCCACTGGAAGCGTAATCAGAGCAATTTACTTGCAGCTCAGGGGTAACTTTCTATTCTGCACTGCTGTTTCCAAAAATGTGAAAAGGTACATTTAGCCAAACTAGTTTCTGTCTTGTCCATGTCAAGCGGATCCTGAAAATTATACAAATTATATAAATTATACAATGAGACATAATTTTAATTAGCTTCTTTATTTATTCACCTTTGTATTAATTACCTTATTTAAATTAATGTCCAAATTGAGCTGCAGCTAGCTGGCCTTCTGCTTCCCACAAACACACAAACAACGGTTCCCTATACCCCAGTTCTGTGTCCATGCATGCTGCAAACTGAAAACACGTCAGAGCGTCCACACGAAAAAGAAAAAAGACATGGCTGGATGACTCAAGAAAAGTTAGCTTTGCAATGTATTCCATTAGCATTGATTTGGTGATTTGCAGGTAAAAACTGGGCTAAATGTGTTTTAATAGTTTTGACAGAGTGAGTATATTTCAGAACTTTACTTTGATCAAATAAATAATTGCTGTTAAAAATTCATTGCAAACAGACATTTAAAAAGCTTGTCTTTATAACCAAAATTGCAGTAGTATGGTTTTAACTGTATTGGATCACTTTCACAACAGATTTTTGAACACAAACACAAACAAAACTACTGTGGTGAAACGTTGATGCTCTGTTCCTATTTTGAAGAAAGTTGCAGGACTTTACTGCGGCCTGGATACTTTCTGCTGCAGAACGTCCTGTCAGAAAACAGATTACACTTGTCAGGACCACCAGCAGAGTGTGAAAAGCAGACTTAAGGCGTCATCTACCAACACACATACATTCTGTTACATAACATAGGTCAACACAGTCTTACTTTCCATCAAACTAAGAATTTTTTGGATGCTTTAAAATCCATCATTCAGTCTGAGGGAATTTCATTTCCCACGGTTGTCATAAAGCTCCGCCATGCAAACACTCACACACACTAACACCCTCTTTACCTCACACACACACACACACGCACACACACACACTCTCTCTATCTCCACACACATTTTAATAAGCACACACAGAAAACCTCTCCGGTAGCGCTGTTGAAAACTTTGTAATGTATCCATGGTCTATATTTGTCACCACAGCAGTGCAGTCGATTATTTTCCTCGTCAGTGTTTGAAGCTTTTCTGTAATGAGCCTGCCAGTCACAGCGTCTGGGATTAAAACAGAGAAGACACAGTACAGATGATGATGATCATGATGACGACAGCTGCCTGAGAGAGTACAGAGGGGAAAAAAAGTAAAAAATTAGACTTTTCAAGAGCTACAGTGTGCAACTTTATGCCTGCAGGCAGTGAGCTGTTTTGTAAGTTCAGTCCTTACTCCCACTCATCTGAGAGAGTGAGGAGTCAAAGTTAACTGGAAAAGTGAAAGTGAGAGCTTCCTATCTGGTAATGCACTAAACAGAGGATATGAAGTAACTTAATGCAATTCCCTACTGTACTTCAGTACAGTTTATTCTGGTACTTGAGTACCATTTTCTAACGAGACTCTGCCTGCCAGGTCCAGCTTTACACTGAAAGATTTAAATCAACTTTCATCAAATTTGGACTTCATCAACCTCAGCTGTACTTTGATCTTGATGCTAACATATTCCTTATTAAAGCTGGTTTTGGCCACTGTGGGGAAAAACTTGTGTGGAGCATCAGAAGATATTACAGCTTAAAAGGGTGAAAAATATATCAAATGACTTGTACAAATCACTACAGTTTAGTCACATTGTAGGGAGTTAGTTTCTACACAAACTTAATTCTGAGCCACATACATTGTGCAGTGTGATTCATCTCAAGATGTCACACAAAAACAAATCGTCATGGCTGATGTTGCTATAGTCAAGGCCAAAAACCAGAACTGAATATACAACCCGTTCTCACTCCCCGACTCATCACATATGGACATATGGTCAATCAGTATGTAACGCACTGGGGATCCCTTTAGCTTCAGTTTTTGACTGTAAAGGTTGGTGTATGATATTTAACAGAAAAGAGTCAGGAGGTGGTTGGGGTAGATGGAGGGCCAGAACCTGGACTTTGAACCAGGAGATCGGTGTTCATGTCCCGTGTGAAACAAAAAGTCAACATTAAATATTTTTATTTAATTTAGGCAATTTACGTAAAAACCATGATATATAACCTTAACCAAGTAGTTTTGTTGCCTAAACCTAACAAAGTACTTATTGTGCCAAAACCTAAACAAATTGCAACGGTTCAGAACTCAAAATGCTAGTGTTTTATTTTGAAAGTCTAACCGGACGTTGCATATTTGTTGTTGCTAAGCATTGCTAACTTGACCGTGGATCCATAGATGTCTAAAAATTATGCTAGAGGGCTACCCAGGGCATTGAAAAGCAACACCAAAGGGCCTTGACCAAGCATCATTATGTAACAAGTTGGGAGTGAGAATGTGTTGGAAAACACAGCAGTTCAGTTGCTCCATATTCAAATGAATATCCTGAATGCTGACAAAACTTAAATACATGTTAAAAATATGAAACACTTTTCACACAATTCAACCCGCAAAAAATGGTTTAATTTCAGCTGAACAACAGTAATTTAGGGACCACCACAGCTTGTGTAGGCTGTGAAAATAAAGCACTTCTTTTTAACTATCATCATAGGAAAGAATTTTGTAGTATGACACTTCTGTCATCAGACAAGAACATGAATATTGGATTAATTCTGGAAAAGCCAGGATTATGTTAAGTGACGTTTTTTGGGCAATGCCCACTTTTTAAACATCTCACTTTTTATAATATCTGCACATTGTCACTACGGTATGTTTAAGGTTAAGGGAAGTTTCATTTCAAGTCTATGACTGTAACCCCTGTTTCCTGTATTAAAGTCATACTTGTATACACCCATCCACCCACCTGACCTCCTCATCCTTACTATTTATGGTGAGGTGCAGAATCATCCAATGTAATTCCTACATTGGGTTGTGTGTCGTGGAGTTGAGGCTTTAAGTGCCTCAGTTTTATTTCTAACACGAGAATATTCTTAGTTAACTGGTTGGTATGGTAATTTTGGAATATTAGTATGCTGGTGTTACAGTAAGTACTAAAAGATGTTATATAACAATAACTTTCTAGTGTAACATGTAATAAATCAGCATGGTGAAATGCCCACACATCGTAACATGCAGCATATAATGTTTTGCTTGCTACATGCTTAACTTAGTATGTTGAATAATATGGTAACGCATAAGCTCTATCAAATGAAGATCATTGATAACTGTGAAATAAATCTCTTGTTTGACAGTTTTAATGATCAGCAGACACATTTTTACAGCTTAAACACTTATGTCAAAATTAAAATAATCATTAGTTGCAGCTCAAAAAATTTGGTTAGCTTTCAAATTCTCTCATATCCTCCGTAACACATCTTGTGTTTGGGCTTCTTTGCAAACTGCTTGGAAACCGTGTGTCTGTTCAAACCACACCAGAGTTTCAACTAAAGCTAAAACAAACCAGATTGATCAGGCAAATTCAATAGAAGGGTGCTCAAGGGGTTTACTTACTTACTTTTTCTGTTTGTCATGGTGAAGATAAACAGAGCAGCCATTATTTTATGACCACTGACAGGTGAAGTGAATAACACTGATTATCTTGTTACCATGGCACCTGTCAGTGGGTGGGATATAATAGGCAGCAAGTGAACATTATGTCCTTAAAGTTGATGTGTTAGAAGCAGGAAAAATGGGTAAGCATAAGAAATTGAGTGACTTTGACAAGGGCTAAATTGTGATGGCTAGTCGACAGCATCAGAGCATTCAAAAACGGTCTGCAGTGGTTAGTACCTATCAAAAGTGGTCCGTGGAAGGAAAAGCAACAGGGTCATAGGCTCACAGATGGTTGTAGCGAGCGGAAGCTGGGCTGTGTGGTCCGATCCAACAGATGAACTGCTGTAGGTCACATTGCTGAAAAAGTTAATGCTGAAAGAAAGGTGTCAGAACACACAGTGCATACACAGAGTCCATGCCTCAACGGGTCCAGCAAGTGGTCATAATGTAATGGCTGAAAGGTGTATTTTCTTGCTTTCACCAATTATTGGCCAGTCCAGTTTTTCTGCATTGACAGCCGTATCAATGTATGCTGTTAACATGCTGTAGTGAGTGTGATTGCAATATCTACTTCCAGGCTGATAAGATGGATGTTATTCCACAATTGAAGTTCAATTTATGGCAATTTTTTTGCTGAGCGTGTGCACTCTCTCTGTGAGAATAAGCAGAGGAGGATGTGTGAGATCCGAACATTATGCCATTAAAATGATGTGTGTGAAGCAGAGGCAGTTTCATTTCCATGAAGTTTAACATGAGCATGAGAGCATGTCATCTAGAAATAAAAAAATATATATATATTCCACTGCCTCACATTTATGGTTTCCAATCAATTCTTCCTTTTTGCGTCCATGTCCACTGGTCTCCAATGACAACATAACTGTTAATCATTAAAAGGGACCAATGGGGTAAAAAGGAAATGACTGCATTTTCGTAGCACACTTTCCAATAATTACAATATGTACATGTTTCTCTCATTCACCCACACATACTACCATGCCATGTGCTGGCCTGACCTTCAGGAGCAATTTGCAGTTCAGTGTCTGGCATGTGGACAGGAGGAGCTGGGGAACTAACCACCAACCCTTTGATCAGTGGATGACTCACTCCACCTTCTGCACCACAGCCGCCGCACTTATTATTAATCCATTATAAACCCTTTACAGTATGACACTTCAAAGGTTTTGAATGATTATAGATATTCTATAGCTATAATCTAATAGATTTCCACTGAGAATATAATGCAGTCAGTATCAGCATTTTACTCTTGTTCACTGTCCTTCAGTCTTTTTTCAGCCTCCTTATTTCTTCTGGTTTCATTTTGTGTTGCTGTTTAAGCATGACGCACATGGCACAAGCATGGCATTGGGGCTTAGCTGGCAGAGCTCTGTGGCTCGTTGCAAGCTATTTCAGGGCTCTGGCTCTGCTAACAGCATCACAAAATTCAGCACAACTGGATGGTGAGGGGGTTTCCCAGATTCTCACAGTTGGGATTAAAGACAATCAGGCGTCATAAAATTTTTATTTGGTGGTGTGTGGCTGGCAAAGAGGAATAACACCATTTGAAAAACATGAGGGCTGGCTGGTTCTGCATTTCACCTCTTATTGAATCAGTACAAATCAAATGAGTCAGGAAGGAAACCAAAATATGTAAAAAGCAAATAAACTGCTTTATTTTCTACAGATTTGTACCGCTGTAAACGCTAATAAACAGTTTTTTGTCAATTAAAAGATCAACTTAACAACCATCTAAAGCAAACCTAAAGAAATCTAAGGAATGTCCAACATTTCAAAAATCCTAACACAACAACACATTCTCACTCCCAACTCGTCACATATGGATGTTTGGTCAAGATACAAGACATAAGGTACCCCTTTTGCATTGATTTTGGACATGAAGGGCTCTGCGGTCAAGTTGGCAATAACAAATATGCAACGTCCAGTTACACTTTCATATTAAACTAGTGGTTAATGTTGTGAAACATCACAATTTGGTTAAGTTTAGGAAAAGATCATGGTTTGGGTTATGCGTTACTACGTAACTGGATCGTAACTACATAACTTAACTAAAAACAATCATTGTTGAGTTTTTGTTTCACATGGCAAGTGAACACTGGTCTCCTGGGGAAAAGTCCAGTTTCTGGACCACTGGATCATCCCGCCACCCCATCCACCTCATTGCTTGGACTTTTCTTTATTTACTATACCCCTGCTTTCAGTGTTCATAAATGACGTGACAGGGCTTTCTACAGTCCATTCAACTATGATGCTAAGAGGCTTCCCGGAGCGTTACAAACTGATGCCAAAAGCTTTTGACCATGCATCCATATGTGACAACTTGGGAGTGAGTGACTTCACAACAAATTGTCGTTTTTACATTTCTGTTTATGTACAGATATAACAAAAAACTGCAATATGTTTTATTGGTGAGCTTTAGAGGTGTTGGTAGGTGTATTGTTAAACTTTGGAGAGTGCCAGGACAGTTGTTTCCACTTGCTTCTAGTCTTTATGCTAAGCTAAGCTAACCACACCCTGAATTCAGCTCAATACTTAATGCATAGGCATTTAACCTCTAACCGACGACCTCCTTTTTTTTGTCCCCACATGGTAGTTGAGTCCCCACAATTCAGTGTGTGTGATCAGTCCCCACAAA